CGCACACGCGCACACGCGCACACGCACACGCACACGCACACGCACACGCACACGCACACGCTCTTTGCCAGCATTCCAACACACCGCGACCATTCAGGCTTGTGGCGAGGCATGCGAAGCGCTGGCAGCAGCTATAGGTGAGGGCAACCAGCAACAAGTCGATGGCCTCATCGCTGCGCTGAAGCTGATGATGCCTCCTTCGAGTGGTGCTGAGCAAGCCGTGGGACCGCCTCGAGACGACTTTCTCCTGAGGCCGGGACAAGCATGTTTCTCCGCGAAACCTTCTGCGAGTGTGTTGGCACCAGGCCAGAAGTCCTGCCGTGGTCAGAGCAAGATTTCCTTGGCGGCCTTGAGGAGAACTTGCGCATCGTCCAGGAATGCGAGGCCAAATTTGTGCGAATGATGGCATCGCATCCGGAGGTGTGGGTTGAAAAGAGCGGAACCGGCAGGGTGATCAGGAAAGTGGGCTTAAGACTCTGCAGAACGCCTGTCTTGGCCTATTGCGTCGTGTCTATGTTGCAAAGGTTCACTCCCTTTGGCCGAACACGCCCACCAGAGCACGCTCAAGCGTCGCAAGTCAGTCTTTGGCTTTTGAGTTTTGTTGACAACAAACGAGTCTGACCCTCTGCAGCTGGGTTGATCGGTTGGCACCGTATAATCACCCCCTCCTGCCTGTTTGCTGACATGTGTCCTTGTGCAGCCTTCTGTCCGGAACCAGGGTTTCCGAGCGCCTGAAATTTTGGCGGCAGCTTTGGACCTTGCAGTTGTCTATCTGAAGAACTACGCCCTCGACAAGGCTGACGCACTTTACGAGGCAATCAAGCCCCATTGTTTGTCACGTGGTCTGCCTTGGAACGTAAAATGGTTTCAAGATTGCGCAACGTTGAGGCCCGGCCCTGAGTAGAACAGGCTTCAGCTTGCTCTCCAGTTGTCCATGCGTATCTCAGCGTCCTTTGCGGACCGACGTGCCGCTCAAGGTGTAAACAGAATCGCCAAGCAGAAGCTGCTCCCATGCTGGAAGAAGTTGCCAAGCTTACTCCTCCTCACGAGGCAGGACCATGCAAAACAAAAACTGCTTAATTTAAGTCAAGTCTTTCGGCAGCTCTGCCGAAGGCGACACTGCGCAACCTCGGGACCGTGTACAACCAGCTTCGGGAACACGACAAAGCCAAAGTCTACTTTGATGCCGCTGTCGAACTCGTGGGAAAGAAAAACGAGAAGGCTAGGAATCGGATAGGACATGCCTGCGCAATGCTCAGCCTGACATTGCCCTGCCCGCACTTGACAGGGCGAGCTCTTGCTCGATAAGGAGGATCTGTGGAACATAGGTTTGGTCCACAAGAACAAAAAGAACTACGACGAGGCAGCGCTGATGTTGGATCAGGCATTGGAGAAGTGGCTGGAAGAGGATCCAGAAGATGACGTCACCCTCGCGAAGCTATACGACTCCGTTGGCAGCTGCTACGACGAAATGGGCAGGCATGAGGAAGCAGTTGGAGTTTTGCAGAAAGCCAAAGATTTGTACGACCGGAGCATTGGCACAGAAAGCCCTTTGTACGGCAGTGCAAGGACCTGAGAGGTCGGCTCAGCCCATCGGCTCATAGCAGCGAACCTTTCGAGGGTGTGCCATGCGTGTGACCGAGGCCTGCGAGCGCTTGAGCCGAGCACTCGTTCACGCGTGGTCCTCAAGAAAGTGCGCCGTGCGCAGAATGCGCTGCGCAGATGACGGTGAAGGCCGACGGAATCGCACTTCGAGCTTGTCTGATCTGACCAGGCCCAGCGATACCAAGAAGGTTTGGACAGTTTGATTGAGGCTTTCACCGTCATTGCGCTTCAGGCCACCAGGGTTATCATCAAGACATCTCGCTGACACCACTGATTGGATTTGGTTGCAAGTGAGTGCAGGATGCAGTGCATCCTACGCCTCTGTTTGAGTTGCTGGGCATTGCCTTGGAGGACATGAGGGGGTACATGCACCTCACAGGTTCTTATCTCTTCAGGTTTTGATACCATAAGGAACCCCAAGGTACGTACATGCATACATGCCCCCCTAATCCCCCAATTTTTGCCTCGAAGGAAGAGCAGGGAGGTACGCACGTATGTACGTACGTACCTACCTAGCTGCCCATCTATGTACCTATATACCCTGCCTACCTACCTTGCCAACTGCGGCAACCAAGGTACGTACATACATTCATACCTACTATAGAGTACCAGCGTGCTATACGTACGCATCCGTACGCCCCCTCTCCTGCCCCTCCGGCAACCAAGATACGTACATACATACGTACGAACGTACTAATGTGCTGATGCGTACCTACCCCCCCTCCCTCCCCTTGATTTTTTTCTCGTCCTAACGCACTAATGTACGTATTCTCTCCGGCAAGCAAGGTCCGTACATACTAACACACTAACGTACTAACGAACGTACGTGCCCACCCTTCCCGAATGCGTGCATACATCCATACGCAAGTTTATTAAGGACCTGCATACTTACAGATACATTCCCTTACGTAAATCCATACATGCGGGAAGCTTATGTGGTCAAAAGCTCGCATTTCGAAAAGATGGCAACTGACAACTCTAGACGCAATGGTCATGAATAAGTTGTTGTATGGCTTAGAAACTATGCAGTTACCAAAATCAGATCAGGATCGAATAGATGCATTCCAAATGAAGATGTTGCGACGAGTGTTGATTGTACCTCCTACCCATATCGATAGGGAATGGACCAAACGGAAGGTAATCGACGAACTGTACTTACGAGCCCAATATCATCATGGCAAGTTGTCAGACAAATGGAAGCAGCGTAACATAACCTTACTAGGCCACATTTTGAGGGCTCCTCTGGACGACCCAATGAAACAAATACTGTTTGAACACGGCACGGATAGACCAGCCATTGAACACACTCGTAGAGTCGGCAAACCAAGAGCCAACTGGGTTTGTTGAAACCTGCAAAGATACCTATACAATATGCGATCCCAACACCGAGTTTGATGAGCAAAACATCGCACAGATTCGAGTTTTGGCAACCAGAGCAAACAACCGCGAAGCTCCTTTCAACTAAGATGGGTCATTGTGTTACCGTCATCGAATATGTCATCGAATACTTCAAAGCAGCGGCAGTGCGGTGCTGGCATCACCTTCAGTTTGAAAGCCGATGTGGTCATTGACTTAGGGGCTCATGATTTTCCATTTTGCAGCTAGGATCTGCTTTTGCTTACGTGCTGGGCAATGCTCAGCCTCGGACAGGCAGCGTGCGGAGAGAGAGAGAGAGAGACATCCATACATGCATATACCTACTTACATACAAAGGTTTACAAACATATAAATATATAAATGAATAAATAAATGAATAAGTATAAAGAAACAGATAAATGAATAAACAAATATAAATAAAAAGATATATGTATATATATGGTTGCGTATATATGGCTATGGCTCAAGCAGCACAGCGGCTCACAAGGGGGGGCGGGTCTGACTGCATCAGCACGTCCTTTGTAGCCACTCCCATGTCTTTTCAAGTGCAACTTGCTGCTGCTCCGTGTGGGACCTGTGCACCCCCACCGCCAGCCTCAAGCGCAAGTTAACTGTGAGTTCGGCTCCCGAATCTCCCAACAACACAAAGCCCCCTTGCCCCAGAAGAGCCCCTGTCAACTTGGATGAGGACGAAGAAAATGATGAGTCTACGCCAATCCTAGGACCGCTAGGGGCTCAATTTGGCATGACGCAGGAGAGGCGCTTGTTGCCGATGGAATCGGCCGCAATACATGTACTGCGACTCCAACGACCACCCTGTCAGCTAGACCTTATCAGGA